ACAAACCACAGCCTTTTATTCAATATTTTCTACATCTCTTAATTTCCATAGTTTTTTTTTTTAAATCTGAAACAAAGAACACAGTTGAATGTAAAAAAAAATGAGAAGAAAAATAAATTGTCTAAGTAAGTTTAACTTGGCATTACTGGAATTTAGAGTCTGGCTTTAAGTAAGAAAAGTTCAAATTGCATGTTCTAATGGCACCATAAGTAACGGGTTCACATTTCTGTATAAAACAGCCCACTTGAAACCTGTTCAGTTTTATCTTCTCAAGTGGTTTAATTCAAGTACAGTGATAAAGATATTATATATATATATTCCTTCTATTAAAATCTCATTTTTAACTCTGGAGTAAGAGAAATTGATGACTATTATCAATGTATGTATTGACTCGCATGACCAAGTGGTTAAGGGAAGCCTCCTGGCAATATTCTCATAGATTACTAGCATCAATTCAATACTAATTTGCCTTACTACTAATGATTTCATAATTGAAAGTTACTGCAGGAATCATCTGCATAAAGTTGTGAATGTCTATAAGAACTGGTGCCACACAGTCTCAAAGACTTTTTAATTCACAATATGATATTTCAACATCAAAATATCTTGCAGTTCTTCTAATTTGTGATAAGATTCTTTGCACTATAAATCAAGTCATTGGTAAAAATATGCCATAATGAAAACTGTCTCACAAAACATTTGTTTTTTCTTCTTTACTAACAGAAAATTCAATTCAATTCAATTCAAAAATGCTGAACACTTAATCAAAATATTTGCAAGCACAAATTCACAAAGAGGTGATAGATCTAAATGTTTTTGATAGTGAAAACCTGGTGTATCTAGAAATAAAGCTTGTCACACCTGATGTCACTACTCAAACACAGCTTTTTGAAGACAAACTTATCTCTGATACCTTGCGACATTTTAACAAACAAGATGAAAGCCTTATCTAGAAAGAAGTGTGTAAAAATCATCAACTAAAAACATCAAACAACAAAAACCTCAGCTAATATCTATTATTATGACATATCTACTCTCTAAACCAATTTGTTATAGAAGAAAACATGACAGGAACAATGTTTTAGTTTACACGTCTGACAAATCAGCAAGGAAAATAACATCTACTATTTGTTTTTCTACATATCATAATACTGTGACGGATGATAGCATTTCCTTGTCTTATCTGTAAGATGATGATCTTTTCCTAAAATGGAATTCAAGATATGAAAAGTATTATCAAACTTTTGTGACGTTTGCCAGGAAAATGAGGTCACTCACATATTTTTTTTTCAACATCAAATACATCATTATGTAAAGAGACAGAACAGGCTTACCAGTACAGAAGAACTGATTCCAGCAAGCCCATGATAGTGCATGTCAACTTGGCCTTATATTCCAAGGATTTGTTAGAACATAACATGAAAATAGCAATGTCTGAAATCCAATTCTAATGCATCATATGAAAGGAAACCATTAAAAAGCAGAAGTGAAAAAATATATGTTGACATGGCATGCAATGTTTCAACAGAATCCTTTCAAAGGTTAATACCAGATGATGGCTTTTCAACAGTCTCCACCTAGTTTCAGTTTAGCTATATGATTAATGTGCAAAGCAGGTGAAATGATGTTGGAACATCTGATCAGGGTGACTTTGGTATTTAGCCATTTGTAACATACACTATTGCTTCATATGAGAGCACAATTAATAAAGTCAGGGCATCAATAACAGACTCATACATGTATGAAGTATAACAAATGTGACACATTGCATGACATGCTTTTTCTGTCCTGCCAATTCATATAAATTCATATAACATGCTTCATGTGTTATTTTATTTCAGGTTAACTTCATCAATAATCTACCAATTGTAATCATATATTAAATATTAATACAGTAGTCACATTTCTTGTGTTACTATCACATAATACATCACAAAGCCAAGGTGTTTTTAACTCGAGATGTGTAATCACTCAATGATATGGTAAAGTTTCAGACACCCGCTGGAAGATAGCGGAATCTGTAGCCACTTGGAGGTGATAAAATGCCTTGTTAAGAAAACACGCAGGAGGTCTGAAAATGTCAATCAAAGATTGAAGAAAGCTGGTAAATGTCTTGAATACAGTCTTCAGTTTACAACTCACTCAGTTTACAAAGGAAAAAAATATTCTCAAGTCCTTTGCACTTAAACTGTAACAATAGAAAATGGATACCCACATTTAAACATTTCAAGTTTTAACTCTTGCCTGGTGTTTTATAAGATTTAACATCTCTAGTTATACTGAGCTTGAGATTATCTACAGTGCCCTGAACTCAGTTGTATAAATGACCATTATGCAACAATGCCTACAAAGACCTTTACAATGAGTCATGTAGTTTAAAGTAAGTAATTTTTGCTATGGTGTTCACAGTATACCTGAAGGTCCTTTAAATACATGTAAATCAGGGTACTTGTTGAAAGTTGTATTTGCATCTCACCTCATGAGTTCATAACAGAGAAATATATTTAACTTAATCTATATTTTCCCATAAATGGCAGGAAGAGAGTAAACACAGTTGAGCTAAAACTTATGTTATATACTCATAAAACAAGACAAGTTATCTGGCATTTAAAAATGTTCTCCTACACATACAACTAATTATTACATTTCTACAAAACCTATACATATTCCATGAAATAAAACAAGAAAGCCATATTATAATGGTTTTAGTTTGAACAATAAAACCCTGTAATAAATTGTAAGTAATGGATATTGTAATAAAGAGTGACAGATAATAATTGGTTAAATTATATTTTTCTTCCTCTATCTATATAATTCTACTTGTATCTGTGACCTATGATAGGTTATCAACACCTTCATCTTGCCACATTCTTGAATAATGGTTTGAGAATCATCCATTCATATAAGAAATAAGAACCATTTTGCAAAATATCTCTATTATATTATTTTTTAATACATCATAGTTTTATATATTATACTATTATGTTTTGCTAGAAAGATCTAAGAGAACGTTCAAAGACATCAGGTAAATAAATTAGATATGGAACAGTAGTTAGGACTCACAGAGTTGACAAAACACAAAAAATAGTATCCTGAATCAAGATAGAATCCAAGGATGCATCATATTTAAAAAAATTTAATGAAGTAAATGATCATTTTCCAATGTTCTAGAAATATCATGATACTTATTGGATTGAATAGATATTGCAGCAATCTTATTAAAGTGTGTCCTATAGAGGTTAAAGTAATTGTCCAGTAATTGACATTGAGGTTAGACTAAACCCCAGGAGGTATCCAATCCTATTAAACCACATCACATGATTAAAATCCTACTTTGATTAATAACTATCATTTCACTTACCTTCAAATAAACAATTAAACACTGACAAATTTTCTTTGAACTTTCAAATTAAATCCAACTGTCAATTTTTTACAGTTATTTTTTCACACATATTCACACAAAAACCAGTTTGTTTTTAAAAACTTTTCACAAATCTGAAATGAGAAAAAGTAGGAATTATAATTGAATTCACAAAAGAACTCCAATAATTCAATTTCATCTATTTTGTAATGCAATAAACCCATCTATCTCAGAAACAAAAAATACTAATTTCTCAAAGAGTTTACAAATAAACTGGAGTAAGAGAGAATGCATCTGCCTACAGATATTGACAAAATCTTTTCCTATAGGTATATAGATAATCATACATGTATTTTATCTAATTCATTTCTATGATTACAATTTTGGCATATTCACTATATAGTGAACTTTTTGTACTTGATTTTTTAAGTTAAATGCAAATACATTAGCATTTTGAATATTGTTGTGTGAAAAATTTTTTCCAATGTCTTTACTCTTAAGGCAAACTAATATTTGAATATCATTTTAAAATTATTTCCCATACTTTAAATAGTCGGTCAGATATAACGATATTTGGGAACTTGTTATACTGCACAAACACACAATTTTAATTAATATTTCATAATGAACCATTTAGTTCATGGGAAAAAAAATATCTTCTAGTTTCAAGTGAAGTGTTTTTAAAAAAATATCTACATCCACCCCTATTATTCTATTTTAATTGGTATACGGAAATAAACAATTGAAAGTATTGGGTTCTACTGACATGACAGCAAGGTTCACTGTTCCTGCCTCAGTACATTTCATAATACACTTTAATCCAGATACATCCTGCAGACAGGACAGAGCAGTCAGTTTATACTGAGCGTCATTATAACCGCGAACGCTGCATTCGCATTGGATTGCTCAACCTGATTTTGTATGAGGTCGTTTATACTTGGGGCGAACGCGAAGCGACCGAATTTCTGTTTGCCCGGAAAACCGCAGAGATTGCCTCCAGAGTCAAATTTTGGGAAAAGACCGTGCGAACTATTAACATTAGCCAATCAGAGTGTGAGGTCAAAGTTCATTCCTGTCTGCCAGTTCACTCTGAGCTCGTTTCATCAGCGAATTTACACGCATAACGCCGCTTTCAATACTAACGATGATCATTGCGAAAAGTCGCGTTCGTGGTCGCGCTCAGTATAATTAGGCCTTTAGAGCAATAGTAATACACATCATTGGCTTAATTACATCAGGCGAATGGTGGATGTGGGTTATTATTTCTGCCAGCAATGCCGATAGAATCAATGTTTGTTTTTTCCCTCATGTATTCTTCTGGATCTTGACAATGCTACACCACATTGATTGTGGTGTGAGATATGTGTTTTAGATAGGTGTATGTGTATCATGTTTCTGGTATAAGTTAATACATTGAATATATCCCTGTCGCAGACAAAATAATCAAATGTCAAGGGTAAGAGCTAAAAAACACTGGTAACATTTGGAGATTAGTCAAATCTGTAGTTGTTTAGTTTTATCTTAGTAGATTGACTAATTATGGAATATTAGATATAAATTAATTATCATCAAGTCATTATCTGCCCAGTAGATAATTATAATGTTTACATATTTCATACATTAACCCTGTATATTTTAGTCTATATTTTATTCCTTGCAGAATGACCTGAATAATGTTTGTCCCAAAGTCCTACCCACCTATCAATGGTAGGTCAGATGGGAACAATCTTGTTTTTTCCAGTGATTAGACAAACAAGCTCTGCAAAATAAATGAAGATGAAGCCATGATTCATATGGTTTACAATGCTTAGCAGTATTTAAAATTGTTGCTGGATGTCCTATATATACAATTTAACCATTCCTTATTTCCTGGTATGATCATGGATGACGAATTCGAGATGTGATCACCAGATTAGATGACAATTATTTTAAATATACTATAGTCATGAGGATGACAATTATATTAAATACCTTTGTCATAGTTTTACAATAATTCAATTATATTCTAAATATAGGTGAGATATGATTGGAATTATTAGATCCTGTCATATGACACGATCTGTCTTGTCATCATTTAATAGTTTCATTATAAATGAATTAATGCTTTAATTATACAGTATTTTTCAGCTAGGGTTAAACATAGATGGCAACATCACATATGCCCAAGTCACAAAACAATCATCACATATGGAAAGAGAATTAGAAGCCTACTGTAGGAGAGGAATGTGTCCTATTATATCAATAATCCAATTGTCAAAATATACAGTTAAGCAGTTAAAAAGTTAGCAGCAGACACATCATAAGTGATCAATAACTAATAAAAACTATATGTTATTCTGTATCAATGCCTTTGAAAGTTTGTTATGACTATTAAATTTTGAGTTATATTCACTATTTATCATAACAATGTGAAGGTATGAAATAACTCAAATATTTATTACTGTTATATCTTTCATGAGAAAAGAAGTTATGAGTTCATTAAGTGTATTTCAACTGTAATTCAATTTTCATAATGTAATTACAATGAGCATATTAATTTATTTTACATTATATTACAAGGGCTTGTATTTATGAAGAATAATGAGCTAACATAGAAATCATGTCATAATCATGTTTTTCTCAAATATCATACAGACTTGATATTTGCCTGACCCCAGCCATTTGTGTATTATCTGACACCAAACGCATTTATTCTCACCCTGATTAAAAATAAACAAATGAACTCACTGTCACTTAGGTGTGAAAAGAAAAATACCAGGAAAACTTATTAGGGTGATAAATTTTTCATATTTTCATTTGATTGTCTTGATACAGTTTCATTCACGGTTATTTTCTAACTTTTCCTTTTATCACTATTTTTTTTATTCACAAGAGGATTGTCCTTGCATATAAACTTAACATGCACATATTTTTTGCAAGTCTACAAACAACGATGAAAACTGGAAACCACAACTGCATGAGCAATGGCTTTAACAATTCTCTAAAAGAATACTTTAAACAACAACAATAAACCTAAATATTATGATTTATTAGTGATTTTGTCTTGCATTTAAGATGCACGACTGATTTTTCTGATTAATTTCAGAAGGCACCACTAGTGCTGCTAGCTTGTGATCTTTCACAGTATAATGATATAATTCATATAATTGACCAATTTGTGTCATGAAATATTCAAATTTCAACAAACTGTGGCCTTTATTTGCATATAGAATGTTTGTAAATCTGGTATCTCATTATAATTTAGCAGTTCAAAGCAGTTTCTAGGGTATATAGGCATGAAAATATAATGATTTTTTGTAAATGGTGTCAGAATTTTTCCAGCATGACAAGCTCATAAAAACTACTGAACTATAACAATTTCTCACTCCGTCAGCTGTTGACTTGACGTTTGTCCTCAAAATATGTGACATGCAACAAAAATTCTGGGCCACCTGTATTATAACTATGGACAACATCACTTGAAACAATTACTTGATCAGGAAGCAAATGACAGTATTGTCAATAGCAGTTCAAAACATACCAGGCACTGAACATCAGGAGACTAAGACTTGCATGCTACTGCTGTATCACCAAAAATTAATTAAATTGATGTGTTACATTTTTCAGGCACCTGAAAGTGCTAATGAAGACAGATCAAAACCATGCAGTGTACAATAAGGGAAACTTTGCCAGAATAGCAGCATTACTCTACTCCGTTTTGATTTCCAACTTTGCACAATCTTTGACATGCACTGCAGCTTTCTACTTCTACAAGTGCAAATTTGTAGTGCCAGCAGTTTGATGACCTAATTCTTATTAAATATAATATAAACAGTGTGAGATGGAATATTGGTTTTTACTACTATACCTGATAGTATTCTATAGACAGATATCCAAATAGCCTTATAAATATTCATTCAAATACACTACAGACACTTCAAACACAAGCTAGCAATAGCACTGAGAATAAGTTTTCCTGTTTAAAACAACTGTTAAAATAAAGCACTATAACAAAATATGTTTCTAAGACAGTTTTTGTGTTGTAAAAATCCACACTAGTGGTAAAGTGTTTAAATGAATGATACTTCAACTAGTGAAGTCAATACACTGACTGAATATTGGAGAGGATTGAAGCAGTCGACAATGTGTATTACAACTGACTGACCAACGAACCAATCAGATTGTCTCTAGTATAATCAACGTCTGTTACACTCAGAACACATGCTGTTTTCTCTCAATATTGTTCCATACAAATTAGTTATTATTGTTACATTGCATTGAATAAATGGAATGGTTCAATGGATGAATGAAGAATTTCAGAGAAAGAAAAAAGGACTACCACTCTTAATACAGTGGAATTCACATACAATTAAAAGTGGCACCCATTCCAATCTGAAAATAGATCTTAATGTTATAAAGCTAGAAAAAAAAGCTTGTAGTGTAAGCATGAGGTAGCATAGAGACACTGAAAATCACTCAATTTGTAACAAAACTTTACTGTTAAAAAACACCAAATTTAATATATTTGATCTGAATAATGTTCAGAGTTTACTTAAACAACACTATAAAACTATATGACAGTGTTGGTGAGCAGCTATCAACAACCTCAAAATACCTAAAATCTACTCAAAATGAAAAAAAAGTTTCAAAAAAGCTCAATGTAGAGGTATTGGTGGTGAATCTTTTGAACACAGATAATTTATCAAAATTTACCCAATTGTAAAAGAATTTATTTGACCAGCTTGAAAAACTAATAATAGTGAACTGTATTGAGAACACTTATATTGTTTAAAGGATACCCCCTGGGACGTAGGCAGTTAGATACAGTACTGCCAATATTAAGAAAAAATCCCCTCAAAAACCATTATGAAGTCCAGCTTCCTCTTATTTTTCTAATATAAGACATTTTAAAATGTATTATGTTGTCCTTGTTTCAATAATCATAGACATGAACCAGTCCAAAACCAGAACAGAAGGCAATGTAACACTTGTATCTTAATTACAAAATTTGCTCTGAAAAAATTAATTACTGTTAAAAATCTTTTTTGTTGAACAAATCACCTCAATATAAAAATCATTATTCATTTTTAACCTTAAGGTCCAGATCAATAGTTGATGACGGTCGGCAGACGCAAAGCACGTGTCACAAAAACCTCATAAATCATAAAAAACAAATAGGTGACAGTATGGACAGTGACTGGACAATGTCCACTTCAGAATCTAAATAAGCGCATAAAGACCTTTAGAATTTGTTTTTGATCTGTAGAACAAAACCTTTTCCACGTTCAACCTCTTATTAACCTTTTTATACCACTAAATCTCTTAAATACAAAGTTTAGATCAGTAGATCAACATATTATAGTAACCCTACCTAACAATACTTTAATTATTTCCTATTGTTCAACAACCTTTGAATGTAGAGGGTTTTATCCTCTCATCTCAAGTACATAAAATCTTTGCCTTCTGTTCATAAATTATATATCTCACCCTTACTTAAGAGGCACTCAGAAGAAGTGTTTCTGTAGAAATGGTATCTAGAATCAGAGAGACATGTTCCATTGATAAATGTAACATCTATATTGGCATTAATCCACAACTTAACAATCAGTACAACATACAAATCATCAGAAATGCATTAAGTCATGTAATCTGAAGAAAACATGCTGATATAATACTCATCCTGAATCATGTAATTTATAAAGTATTGAACATTTTTAAGCAGTCAAAATTAAAAGTTATTGTATATTTACGTAAATATTAAACAAATCTGTCAAACTAACCAGATATTTTGAAGTTACAATACACTAATACTATGAACATTTCAGTTTTTAGATGAATATGGTGCATACTTCTAACAATTAAAGTTCAGATGTAAAAACATCAATTTAATGTGCCCAGATGGGGGTAATACTGAAAGGATTTGTACACCAATTTCAAACCACATGCCCTGTATTTGTCTTTTGCTACAGTGATCAAAGGCAAACAAGTAGAATAACAGAATGGTTTTAAAATGTATTAACATTATGACCTTTCGCCCATTCCCCATTGTTTTTCAACCAGGTTCAAAATAAACAATGACTGTCTTAAGTATGGCCAGAATTTAACTGGTCAATTGGTCAAGCTAATGGACATCTTGTTATCAAATTCTTTCAGAAATTACAATCATCAGAAAGTCAATAAGGGCAGAAATTCGAGGACATTTAAGGACAAAGGGGACACAAAGAATATTCAAATGTTGTATCAGACATGTTGTCTAGGATACACCAGTACCAAGTACAAAACTTGACATTGTTCAATAATCTCTTATATTAGATTCACTAATGAATTTTCATTTTGTATATGCTAACCTCCAATATCTTGATTTCTTATCTTCTACATTTGAAAGTAGAATACTTGGTTATTAATATGTATAGTGAAATCCCTGTCATTCCCTATAATATCTACAATATGTTAACCTGTCGTACTGCTTTTTATACTGTGCAAAGAAAATTGCAAATCAATTACAAAGCTAGGGCTCAAAATTTTATAAAGGAAAGATAACCTCCATTTCTAAAAAAAAGGCTACTTTTATGAACTTTTAGTGAAGGGTTTGCAGCATAAAATCTCCTAGTATTTGGTCCAGCCTTTTGACAACATCTGGGTATAATACTACTATAGTGGATTAACAAAATATTTAGGATACCATTCAAATAATGGGTTAAAAGTCCTGATGCTCTGAAGCCTTAATTAGGATGGTTAGCAATTAACTTATTATTAACTAATTATCTAGCAAGAAGACAAAAATAACCATTAATTCACTAAATATCTACTATAAGATTTCATTCAATGAAGTAAAAGTTTTGAAACCTAGCAAATTCACAATTTTTCACTTCATGTGTCCAATTTTCTCTGAACTGATTTCTATTTAAAAGGTTTCATTAATTAAACTGGCATTGAAATCCTGAAAGTGGCACCATGACAAATTCTTTTACACATGTCAGGAGAATTCAGTTGATGAGATTTTAAACTTCATTGCTATTTCAAGTTAGTTTAATCAGCTAAATTTATCATTTAAAATTCTTCGCATAAAAATGACAATTGAAATAATTTATCTGTTTAACATTCATAGATTGTGACATCAGTATTGCAAATATCACTTAAAACAAGTCTGAATGGTGCCAAAAATACAAACATTTTGAAAAGGCTCTTAAAATAGACTTAATAATTTGTTTGTCTTTATAAAAATTTTGAATTCAATCCAAGAAGGTTGCATATTACCAATATACCTGCCATCTTGCCATATTGATCATCATCACAATATACAACATTTAATGTTAAGAACAATCTTCTATCACAAGGGATGATTCTCAAATTTCCTTTAATTCTACAATGTAAACATTTAATTATGAGTAGAATAGCTGATTAACATGACAAGTCAATGCATCTAGGTTTCCAGAGAATTTCTGGAGCAGATGTCAAAGTTTGCCCCCCTTTTAACAGTGGCTAGTAATCTATTTGACTTTTAACTGTTCCATGGCATCAAATTACATCACTGCCTTCTGTTTCCTTCCTTTCTGTGACACATAACCTTACAATTATCATAATGGCTACACTCAAATTTACATTTAATTGCAAAATGGCATCACAATTTGTCCTGCTGCTGCTTCTCATGGGCAATGAACCTGTGAAAATTGACATTCCCCCACTCTTTGTTTGGTACAGAAAGAACTTAACGTGTTGTAACTTTTTCTCTCTCAAGTTTCCAAGGGATTTGTAATTGAAGACCTCTCTTCTTTGTTTTTCAACAATTTTTAATAAAATATTGAAATTAGATCACTTGTGATTGGATTAAACATCCATTTGCAAGTCATTTTTTAATAATTATCTCCATAATATTACATGATAACAATAGCAGACGTGACAGAAAACAAGGGCAGATAATTCAAGTATTGTAAATTAATTTAAAGAACCAGCAGTGATTTATGAGACTAATTATTATTCATGAATATCTCTTTAATTGCAATATGAAGGTCAAATTACAGGAACTTTGTTATGATAAATTGATTTGATTCTAACAAAGAGATTTACAAGAAAGTCACCCAAATATAGTGTGCTTCAATCAAGAGATAAATGTGTAGATAATCAATTTGTTTATTTGAAGTTTGTTAAAAGATGAATTGTAGCTTTATGTCCTACTTTTTAGTTCTGGTTTTGGTTAATGCAGACAGGCAACCATGTGCAGAATGCAATGAAAAACTACTCTTTTTCCATACCCCTCTGTCAAGGGACATATAACTGGGTTAGCATGGGGTTCTCGGTTTCCACTCAAATAACTCAATGCTTTATCACTATACACCCTTTGAACCACTGAGTGACCTATCAAATATCACACTCAGAAATACATCCTATCTAAAGAAATATTAACAAACTGTAGCATAAAGCAACAGAAATTCAAATTAACAGTTACTTTTACTGTTTTTTTACTGTGTGTCTTGAAGTATATAAGGAATGAAAAAAATATTGAAAATATATATATCCTAGAGACATAGAATTGATTCCCCACAAAAATCCTTGTTAAGCATTTTAAGTCTTATCACTTCATGGTATGGGTAAATGATCAGACCTCTTCAGAAACAGCAAACATTCTGTTTGTTACACCTCTATATTTTAACCTTTAAGTGCCTAGAATCATTATCCTTACCTGGAAGTATGTAAAGAATGGTAGACTACAGAAGATATTAGTACCACCTACAGATAAGAGTTTGAACAGAAGTGATTGATATTGAAAATAAGCTACTGTCTAGTAATTGTTATCAGCAAGTA